TCTGTTCTTGGTCTAGTATCACTGGTTTGTCCACAAGGACTCTAAGTTTGTGGTTGTTTTAACTATTATTTAACTAATTATATCTACTTGTTTGTTTACTTTTCAATTTACTAATGATTTGCAGATGTACGGGAAAGAGTTTTTGTTTGTTTTTTAATAAATTCTAATAGAAATTTTTTTTTTGCAATTTAAAATTTTTATCCAAATTTTTCCAAATATTTGCTAATATCGAAATAAAGATCCACGATTTGATATCCAAATTTTTCCGTGGCCCTGACTGGAATAAACAAAATAAACTGGCAACCTATATATATTAAGCAAAATTGCTCAGCTACTAATTTTGCTATAGTATGGTTAGCCAGTATTATTACTTAATGCTGGCCAAGCTCTGGCCTATTCCGACCCTAAATTCGGGCCGATCTGCTGAATTTTGGTTGCGCAACTAATCTGTAATCTAGTACGTACGTACGTTATCTTTAGGGCCAAGACCGGACCGTAACATCCCTAGACTGTATATATATTTATATATAATATATACAGTATTATGTAAAATATAAAAGATTAACATATTTACGATTAAACGAACCTGGTCAATGCTGCTGTATTGAAATACATGGTACGTGGCTGGAATTGGCATGTTTTGAACGCTAATTTTGTATATCGTAGAACGTTAATTTTATATCGTAGAACGTTGCATTCGTTACCTAGGGGACAAATCAAGAAATCTAGCTAACTTAATTTGTGCTTGGAATATGGGGAAAGGATAAAGCCTGTACTTTGAGATTGTTTATTTTGGACACAAAATCTAATGATATTTCAACAATTAGAATACTATTTTAGGGAATATTAAATGCAGCTTATTTTGATACTGTTACGTATTAGAGATATTTTTAAAGGCAATTACTACGTATTAGTGCTAACAATAAAAAGAATACGTACACGTATTTGAGTGACACGCATTTATTATTATTATTATTATTATTATTATTATATTATTTTTTACAGTTAATAAAAAACTTTACTATTTATCGTTATGTTCTAAAGTCAGAGGTAATTACTTTTTTTTTGTAATTTTTATAAAGAAAATAATAAAAGATCAATCATGAATTCTTTCACAAATATATAAATATATACTTTATATAACACATCTATATTGTAAACAAATCAGACAAAAAATGTATAAATCAATGAATAAGACTATATATAAAAATATATAATTGAAAAAAAACATTATGGTAATATCAAAACAGTTCTAACCACCCCATCAAAAATCAGTACTATGCCAAAATTAAATGAAATACAAATGAAAATAATGTAAATGGATGATGATCGATTATGATATCAAAGAATTTGTATGCACTAAATTCTAAAATATTCACATAACTTTGAGCGTATCTGTTATACAACGACTATGCTACAAAAAGCTCTTCAAATAAATTATGTTTTATCAACTCTCGGAATCAAGTTTATTGTTCCTATCTTCAGATGGGAAAGCTAGAGTAGCAATACTCGGAGCCTCCGAAATTAATGAATTTCTCCTTTCATTCGGAATCTTCAAAGCGAATACTTCCGAATTACCCGTGGTAGTATCGTTCGTTGCGACCAAGATGTTTCCACGAGAGTCAGAGTATAAGTAACGTACATTATGTCCAGCAATAATTTGTTCTAAAAGGCCTGTTTCAACGTGACGTATTTCGATGAACGAAGGTTCAAATGCAAGAACATAAGGATAGTGGTAGGCTGCAAAAAAAAATATATAAATAAATTAAGAAAGGTACAGACAGAATCATTAAATTGATAAACAATAACAATTAAATAAACATACCAAAAGAGGTTGGGGATCCCTCCCACGTTATTAGCATCTTGTCCCGTGATCTCCATCCTTCTTTATTAATAAAGAATGCAAATTCTAAAGGACAAATTATACAATTTATATTATTGAATTTTAGGATTCGTGATTTAAAATGTAAAAATCGATAAAACTTACCATCATAACATAACAGAAAATCGCTACCCCCAACACGATAAATAGCAATAGGCTTTACATTTTCTCTTTTAAGTACAAACTCATGTGATGTATCTTCTGGATGCAGTAATCCTTGCGTTTTAAGAGTCTCCAAATCAACAACTTCAAATCCTTTCGTGCAACCTACGCATAAATTCTTTTTGAGATAATGAACTGACGTTAATTCTGCAGGTATACAGAACTCCTGAGGACAAATAAATTAATAATGAATGTATGGCAAATATATCAGTTAAATTTCGAACTTAAAATTTCTATTAAGGCCTATCAATATCACAATGCTACCTTATATGTTTTTAACACATCGCTACTTCCACGCAAGAGTTTAAAAGTTGGTCCTTTAATCTTATGTTTAACGTTTTGTTCAAGAGGTTCTAAAGTCTTAATAGTCGATTGAAGCGTACTATTTTTTACAACTGTTATTAAAGTTTTTCCACGACAAGTTCCGGACTTAAAAAAACTTGCATGTGAGCTGATTTTTTTTGAACGTTTGCTGGCCGAATTAGTATCACCAGGATCCAATGCATCGATTGGGTATGAGTAGAGACTTTTGTCTTAAAAATTAATATTAGTTGAGCAAGGTATACATAGTGAAAAAGATTTTATTTCTCATACATTTGTCAGAAGAATTTTATAAGCACTTACCAGCTAATATAAATAATAATCGATAATCCTCAAGAATTTCAATCTGAGATACTTTTTCTATCTGTAATGCTTGAACTGCATGTTTTTGACTAATATCCAGTACATATACACCACTATCAGTTCCAAAGGCTAATTTTCGATAATTATCTAAAGGATAAATTAATATAAATATTATAAATTATTATTGAAAAGCTTTTGAGGAAAAATAAAATAGCTATATAAATAATTTTACCAAAAAATACGGCACAGATAATCTTATGTGTATCAAGAAAATGTCCTTTTTCAATTAATACAGTTTTCTCAAATATCTTCCCTTTCTCATTGAGTTCTTTTTGTTTTTCTATTTGTTCGATCCACTTTTTGCGACCGATAATCGTTGTTGCATATAAAGTTACCGCAAAGCCTTTTTTTCCGAGACAACATAGTGTTAATGCATGTTGATTATTGTTATTTCCACGATTAGATGCTTGAGCCTTTCCGCCATGTAATATTGACTGTGGCCGTTTCTGAATCGGACGAATGTTTTCTGAAGGTCCTTCAGTTATTGAGATGCTCAACAATTCAAGAGGAATTGGCTATGAAATAAGTTAATGATATTTTGTTAAGTAAAAAAAAAAACCAGATAAATGGATTTTTATTTAATATAAAAATGATATATACCTTTCTATAAATTTTATAATGTTCAACCTTATTTACGATTTTATTTTTCACCATTAACAAAGCATGATCGAACAAAAACACTTGTAGATCGGACGGTTCACCAGCTCGAGTGGGCTTCTTTAAAGTACCCTTGAAAACGAGCTGACGTCCTTCTTCATTCAATTTCAGATCCTGAAATTGTTAGTTAATTAGTAATAATATTTAATAATTTAACAGACAGATTTTCTAAATTAAGACATGAAATTGCATACCACATTCCCTCTAGATATCAGTTGGTCGTTTAATTGTTGTAAATTGAATCGATTTTCCGATTTCCCAGATTCTATATTAACATTCGTTAAAAATTCTTTGATGATATTGATTACCTTTGGTATATTAATCTTATCAGGATGATTACTAGGGGTATGTTTTAGAACAACCTCAAGGAGTAATGGATATCTTCCAAGACGGGTTGTAGGCTTTGTAAGATACCCATTTAGTTCTAATTTTCTTGATTCGGGAAGACGTTCAATTTTCTATAATAAAATATATTGATTATTTTCAATCTTTAAAAGAGGTGAGAAATAATAAATAAATACAAATTATGAATTCATGATATTACTTCAACAAATTTTGCAAATTCCGGGTTGCTGCTTTTTTCTCTTTCAAATTCATGTTTTCCCAATAATTGATGTGCACCATACTGAATAAAAGGATTAAACTTTGGGACATGTTCTAAAAAAATGTCACCAATTTGCTCAACAATGGCATAAGCATTTTGTCGTTTTTGAAGTGCATCGTTCAGTTTAGAATTAACTTTGTAAATATCTAATATATTATAAAAAACATTATCGACAAATTCTTCGCGTCGATCTTCAGGAATAATATCTTCCTTTAAGAGAGGCATCATCCAACACTAATAATTTATTATAATTTATTATAGTAGAATTAATAATAGAAACAAAATAATGAAATGTATCAAAAAAAAAAAAAAAAGTATATCTTAGCACACATCTCTCAGGTATTCTAAATCATGTACAAAATCATTCTCAGTATAAATAACTTCATTTATAGCTTCTTGTCGTTTTTTCTCCGTCTCAGAAACTGAATTAGCAATTTCAGGAAGAACAGTATGAATCCATAACTTTCGATCCTGTTCAAAGAAATTTATTTAATATTTTAGACAAAAGATTTATTATGAATGACAAAACAGGAATGGATAAGTATAACCACCTTTTTATCTGAAAGAGAACCACGACTAGAACTACGTTTAAGACCAGGGGTTGGCTTCATGTTCTTCCGTACAGACTAATGTTTGCACGTCAGAAAAAAAATTATACTGTAAATCACGTCTAATTCTTCATTAAAAGAGAACGAAATTATAATATACCTACTTGTTCCAACCTCCTTGGACAAATAATGCTATAACATAAATTATCTTTGGTACATGTAGGAGAATAACAATCGGTTAACAAAGTAAAAACGCCATTTGGTAAATCATTTTCTTCAGCATCATCTTCAGTATTATCTTCCTTTTCATATTCGACATGGTCATAATTGTCGGAGGACAATATTGACGGCATTTTTCTGAATTGATACAATTCATTTGCAGAATCACGAAGTCTATGATCATATGTCACATCATGAAAAAATTTTTGAGCGTCTAAAGCCCGACCAAGTAATAATGCCAAATTCCTATCAGTGGTTTTGATTATATATGCGATCTTATCCTTTATAACAATTAAAAATTAAATAAATATATATATAGATTCTTGTTATTAAAAGTTGCAAAAGCTATAGTCTAATTCAGATGTTAGTAACCTAATAAACCAAATAACAACTAAGTCATACCACAGCTTCTCTCCCGTCAAAGCAATCTTTATATTCGAGGTTGTCTTTCATCCTATTTGAAAGAATAATCCTGGACCGAAATGCATCAGCAACCTTTGAAAGTAAAGCGGGGTAAACAATTGGAATATGCTGTTTTCCTGTATAGGAAGAGGGTGATGAAGGAGCACTTGATGCATCTGAACCAGCAGATGGTGGAGATGGTTCAGAGTATGACAATGAACGAAATCGCTCTGAATGATAAGATGAATGATAATTTAAGGGTGTTTTATTACGAAGGTTTTCCATTGATTTTCGAAGAGGGGGAATATAGTCATCGGAATAGTTTGGATTAAGATTTGAAGCAGCAGTGCTAGTACCTATTGAAAAGGTCATCGATAATATTTGTGAATTTATCTGTGTATTCATGATAATTATATTAAACCTCAGAAATGATAAAAATGATATGATAAAATATGTGTATAATAATTTTAAATGCGTGGAAAGGAATAGTAATTATGGAACAATGAACATACCAATAATTAGTCTTGATCTTTGCGAAACGGAAGGATGTTGTGGCATACTAGGTAAATATTGAGAAGAAGGCTGTTGAGGTCGCCGACCAGGACCGGGTACAGTAACTGCTCGCGGTGTCGACGTTGATGGACGCCCTTCATATGGCTGAACTGGATGAACAGAGATCCTTGGTGTTGGACCAGTGTGAGGACGACTTGAATATTGTAGGTGTTGCGATTGTTGTGGATATTCAGGACGTTGTGAATATTGTGGAAATTGCTGTGATGTGGATAAATCACTTTCAAAAGAGAAAGTACCCAGTGAAGGTACACTCATAGAGGCTTGATTGCGAGACACATCAGCAGCAGGGTGTCGAAGCTGTTGATATGGATGCTGTGGAGAATAATTAGGATAGAAAGAATCACCAACTCTTTGTCCGTTATTTGTCATAGTAGCAGTATTGTCGACTGGAAGCTGGACTTCCATATCTTTCCAATATTCCCAGTGGTTCCAATGAAAAATTCCACTGGAAGAATCATACCACTGGGATGAGTATAACGTTAACCAATAAAAATGCACATATAGTAGCTAACCAATCAAAATAACTATACTCCCTACGATAGTATTCCTTGTCGCTTATATATGGGGGTGAGTAAGTAAAAACGCGCCAAATTTTTTTTAATAAATTTTTTTTAAAACTTTTGAACAAAGATAACAAGAACACAAACAAATTGAATATTTGTTTTATTTATTTATTTATTTACTATTATTTTTTTTTTATGAATTTTACAAATTTGTAGAATTCATATAATTCATTTATTCTTGTTATATTAGTTAAAAGATTTATTAGAAAAAAAATTTTACGTTTTTATTGACAAACCATATGGGCTGCCGTCAATAGAAATCAAGCAAATCTACATTTAAAAAAAAATCAATACCTTAACTTTCGCAGCTCAT